TACTTAGATATTTCCTCTTTCTGCCAACACTCTCTATTACGCTATTTCTTATTTAAAATTAACACTTGTAAACTGTTACTTTGTCCATATATCATTCTTCTATTATGCATTCTGGATAATGTCAAAGATGTCTGCTTTGTATTGGGAAACTTTTAGGCCCTTTTTCCCTGTTTGTATTGAACTTTGAAAGAAAGGACAGAGATGGCTAGAAGTACCTCTAAATCAATTAAGAAAAACTTTTATAACATTCCTTTGAGATCGCAAATTTAATATTCATAATTTATGTAATTTTTACACAAACAAACTTTATAAGTAAAATAGTTTATGTTTATTATCCAGAAGAAAACCTGGGAAATGAAATGAATTTTACTTTTAATGAATTTATTATATTGAATTCAAAATTATACAGGTAATTACAAAAAAAATATTGTAAAATCAAAATACAAATCATTTGCAATGCAAGAGGTATAAAAATATGATCAAAACCTACCTACAAATGTAGTTGTTTCCTTTTGAGATGAAACATAAGATTCATGCACTGATACACTCTTGTTGGAACTGATGTGAGAATTTTTATTCACACATTAAAAAATTTCCAACTCATACAACCTATGAATAGTTTAAAATATGCTTATGATAAGTTATGATTTGATATATTTAGGGAACAAATTTTTTGTGGTGCTCCACAGATTTTTCTCAAATATTAATATTCTAATATTTCAATTTGTTAATACTGTTCACAAAATTCATAAATCAAATTTATCAATTTATGTCGTCTTTTTCAGGAGTACACGTGGATCAGAAATTTGATCCTCTGCAATCTGAACCAAAGAAATTCAAGAGGGGTAATGATGGATATCCATGTAATGATTGTGAGTACGTAGCTTCAAGAACTGATCATTTGAAGAGACATGTTGAAAGTAAACATGATGGAGTGAAGTATCCTTGCTCTTACTGTGAGTATGCTGCCACTTCGGCAAGTTATCTAAAGAGACATGTTAAAAGAAAACATGACGGAGTGAAGTTTCCTTGCTCTTACTGTGAATATGCCGCTACTACAGCAAGTGAACAGAAGAGACATGTTGAAAGTAGACACGAAGGAAAAAGATATCCTTGTTTTCAATGCAAGTATGCCGCAACTACAGCAAGGTGTCTGAAGAGACATGTTGAAATTAAACATGAAGGAGTGAGATTTCCATGTGCTCAATGTGAGTATGCCGCAACTACAGCAAGTCACCTAAAAATTCATGTTGAAAATAAACACGAAGGAGTGAGATATCCTTGCTCTCAATGTGAGTACGCCGCAACTACAGCAAGTAGCCTGAAGACACATGTTGAAAATAAACATGAGGGAGTGAGGTATCCTTGCCCTCAATGTGAGTATGCCGCAACTACAGCAAGCTGTCTAAAGAGACATTTTGAAATTAAACATGACGGAGTGAAGTATCCTTGCTCTTACTGTGAGTATGCCGCAACTACAGCAAGGTGTCTGAAGATTCATATTGAAATTAAACATGAAGGAGTGAAATTTCCATGTGCTCAATGTGAGTATGTCGCAACTACAGCAAGTAACCTGGAGAGACATGTTGAGAGTATACATGAAGTGAGATTTCCATGTGCTCAATATGAGTATGCCTCAACTACAGCAAGTAACCTGAAGATTCCTGTTAAAATTAAACATGAAGGAGTAAGATATCCTTGGTCTCAATGTGAGTTTGCCGCAACTACAGCAAGTAGCCTGAAGACACATGTTGAAAATAAACATGAGGGAGTGAGATATCCTTGCTCTCAATGTGAGTATGCCGCAACTACAGCAAGTATTCTGAAGATTCATGTTGAAAGTAAACATGACGGAGTGAGGTATCCTTGCTCTTACTGTGAGTATGCTGCAACTACGGCAGGTCATCTAAAGAGACATGTTGAAAATAAACACGAAGGAGTAAGATATCCTTGCTCTCAATGCGAGTATGCCGCAACTGAAGCAAGTAAGCTGAAAATTCATGTTGAAAGTAAACATGAAGGAGTAAGATATCCTTGTTCTCAATGTAAGTATGCTGCAACTACAGCAAGGAATCTGAAGAGCCATCTTGAAAGTAAACATGAAGGAGTAAGATATTCTTGTCCTGAATGTAAATATGCTGCAACTCAGAAAGGAGCTCTGAAAAAACATTTAGAAAATAAACATAATTGAGTTCAGATATCTCTGTTCTGATAATGCTGCCAAGGAATTACATACAAATTTACCATAACTGGGGGCTATCAAACATTTTTTTTTTTGAATTTGTGGAAACTTATGTCACATAATAAAAATTTTCTAATGTTAATGTTACAATTGAAGTTATTTTTTATTTTAATTGTTTGAATTTTTTGTTTCATTTTAAAAACTTATTTAAAATAAATTTGATAGTTCTTTGTGTATTATATATAATTTGTTGGTATAAACAAAATCGCTTAATTCTCATAACTAAATTTAATGCACCAAATATGTATGGATTTCAATAGTAGAAAATTAAAATAGGAATTGGTGTAGTTCATTTTATATGCTCAATATTCCTAAGGATGCAAAAAAAACTGTAAAAGCTTAAAAAAAATCGTAAAAAATCTTCAAATAAAAACTGATATAAATCATAAAAAGGAAAGATTCCAAAAAGTCAGCCTTATAGATTGTTACAAATAAACTTTGTTTGTTATCAATTAATAATCTGTATTTTCCCATAATACTCACAGGGTGGCCAAAATGTACGGATTGTACGGATTGTACGGATTGATTTTTTTTTAACCCTAAAATTGTACGGATTGTACGGATTGTCCGGATTGTACGGATTTGTTTTCAAATTGTACGGATTGTACGGAATCTGAAAAAACATTTAGAAAATAAACATAATTGAGTTCAGATATCCCTGTTCTGATAATGCTGCCAAGGAATTTTATACAAGTTTACCATAACTGGGGGCTATCAAACATTTTTTTTTTGAATTTGTCGAAACTTATGTAACATAATTAAAATTTTCTAATGTTAATGTTACAATTGAAGTTATTTTTTATTCTAATCGTTTGAAATTTTTGTTTCATTTTGAAAACTCATTTAAAATAAATTTGATAGTTCTTTGTGTATTATACATAATTTGTTGGTATAAACAAAATCGCTTAATTCTCGATAACTAAATTTAATGCACCAAATATGTATTGATTTCAATAGTAGAAAACTAAAATAGGAATTAGTGTAGTTCATTTTATATGCTCAATATTCCTAAGGATGCAAAAAATACTGTAAAAGCTTAAGAAAAATCGTAAAAAATCTACAAATAAAAACTGATATAAATCATAAAAAGGAAAGATTCCAAAAGTCAGCCTTATAGATTGTTACAAATAAAATTTGTTTGTTATCAATTAATAATCTGTATTCTCCCATAATACTCAATATCCTTATAATCTTATTGTCCTTGGAGCCATCGCAACATAAACATTTAAACATATAAACATACAAATATATAAACATATAAACATATTAACATATAAACATATAAACATATAAACATATAAACATATAAACATATAAACATATAAACATATAAACATAATAAACATATAAACATAATAAACAAATAAACATACTTACTTGTTACTTGTTACTTGAAGAGTAATCCTCAGGGCTCCTTTAGGAACATAGGTGAGGATGCCAGTAGGTCGTCACGGAGTAATGATCTGTCGTCCATGTCCTGCTACATAGTGCTCTCCACACTCAAATACTCCTTGCACAGATAATTTTACGTACATTTTATAGTTGTCCAATGTCGATTGAGTCCAGCTGGGTCCTAAATATGTTTAGAGTCCTAGCCTCTTTTATTTCTACCGGAAGTTTATTCCATTTTGGAACAACACGATTAGAAAAGAAGTTTTGCCTGACATCAGTGCTTGATCTTTTTGGTACCAGATTGTCTTCATATGCTGTATGACGAGTTAACCTGGTAGCAACTACTCCAACCTTGCTGAACCAGTTTTCATGATCCACTCTGTCAATACCCTTCATAATTTTGTAGGTTTGGATCAGGTCAAGTTTGGTTCGTCTGTCCTTTAGTGATAATAAACACCTAGTTCATTAAGCTTCTCCTCATAGGTCCTGCCACTTAAACCAGTGATCAGGTTGACCGCCCTGCGCTGTATTTTCTCTAGTATTTCAATATCCTGCCCAGTCCAGGGTGACCATGCTGGGACCGCAAACTCTAAGTGACAGCGGACAAATTGAGTATACAACCTCAGAAAAGTGGTTTTATCCCGATACAAAAATGTCCGTGTAATTTGTCCTAAAAACATATAAACATACAAACATATAAACATATAAACATACAAACATATAAACATATAAACATATAAACATATAAACATACAAACATAATAAACATATAAACATAATAAACAAATAAACATATAAACATATAAACATATAAACATACAAACATATAAACATAATAAACAAATAAACATATCCCATTCAAGGTATCTTTTCTGTCTAGTCTCAAATCAGGATCAATATAGTATCCTTCAATATTTAACATAGCCGTGTTAGTGTCATTGTTTAACCAGGTTTCTGCTATCAATACGAAGTCAGGTTTTTCTCATTTAATAAAACTTCTAAATCATTAATTTTATTAAGAAGACTTCTAGCATTTAAATATATTATTTTTACTACTTCTTGGTTGGTTTCTTTTTCTGGCTCTGAGCTGGTGGACTTTTGGAAGCATGTCTCTTCCCGTTCCCCTGCTCTGCACCGTCCTCCTCAGGGAGTTGTTGAGAGTTTTCGTCAATGTTGTCTTCGTCTGATGATGGTAAAACATCTCTAAGAGTACTTGTAGTCAAATCATTAAAATCATCTCTTGTCTCAACTTCACCCCCTTCACCCGAATCCCCTGTCTCTACCCCCTCCTGACCTCCCTCATCAGCAGAAGATTCTGGCATAATAACTGTTGGAGAGGGCGGGGTGGCAGCCCCCTGGCAAGCCACATATGAGCCACGGTGAGTCTCAGTCAGGGCTCGTTGAATCGGATGACCTCTAATATTCGAAAACCTCACATTTCTGTCATCCTTGGCCAGACTGTTATCATCCCTGGTTGGAAACTTTGTTGGGATGAACTTCTGGTATTCTGGGATGCTTGAGATGTTCTATTGAGCTGCACTGAGTTTGCTCCAGTGAGGACTGGGCCATTGTGATTTCGTCTAAAGCCTGGGCCCCTGTGTCCCTGGGTGGATTTATCTCCATGGTATGTGTTTCTCCTGTCTTGGACGAACACCTTCCTTTTTATCATTCTCCTTTCCCCCTTGTACCAACAAGAACCCATTCCCGGTTCTGAGCCTCTTCTCTTTCCATTTCTGCGTTCCTTCTCTCAGCTTCTTTCCTCAGCCTTTCCTCATCTTTTCTTTGTCTCTGAGAGAGATCAGGCACTATGCTGATGTGGTTGAAGTTTGAATTGGCAATGTTCCTGGCTGAGTCCATGATGGCATCCCTCTCAGCTATGATCTTCAAGGATAATATTACTGGTCTGGGTATTCTCCTGCTCTGTATATGAACTTGATACCCTCCTTTCTTGCTGGTACCCAAAGATAATCAAAGATGTCTAAGACCTTCTGACTTTCATGCTCCTTACGATGACCACCTTTGTCTAATGATTCTGATGGTTCAGCTATCTGGTGAATTACTAAATTCTTTTTTCCGGGCTTCGCGCTCATGGAGTTCGTCAAATATAACGTCATTGTTGCTTTCAACACTGCTCAGTCTCCTACCCTGGTTGCTGATCTCCTCCTTGTTCTCATCAATGTCTTCCCTCATGTCCTTGACTTTCAGGTGAAGTTGTTGTACCTCCTTCCTCACTTTCTTTGAAACTGCTCTGCAAGTCTTGCAGGTCCAACTATTTCCCGGCATTTCCAGGAATTTGAGATGCTCACCAGAGACATCCACACATTTAGCATGGCTCCAGTGCTCACAAAAGCAGCATCTAGCTTCGCCAGTTTTTTTGGTAACATTTTTTCCACAAGTGGGGCATGGGAAAGCAACTTTAGGCGGCATGTTTATATCGGGATATCTGCCGAGTATACTAATACTATGAACACAGAAATCAGAAATATGGCAAAGCAAAGTAAAACAAATTCCCCTATGAAACTAGCTAATATTTCAGCGGGGACTCCTCGCGGAGTTTACAAATTTAAATATTTATACAAAATTAATTTACTGAGTGGGCTCTTTGTAATATTTTTGTACTTTAATACTTTCGGATATGTACTATTTTATTCTTATTTTTTTCTCTTTATTCTTATTTTTTTCTTCTTTTTTTCTTATTTTTTTCTCTTTTTCTTTTTTTCTTTTTTTTAGCCTTCTTTTAGTTTTCAGAAATATCTGAACTTTCTCAGTAAAGGACTGCCAGGGCAAAATTATCCTGAGCTAATAATGCTCCAGCCGACCAGTCGGTGTAGAGGTATCCGGAAATACCAGTACTTCGAAAACTATTTCGGATAAGGTAAATTATATTTTGTCTCGGTCTCTCTAAGTTTTATGGGTGTACCAAGATTGTGACTAAACCATGTAAAAAACATATAATGTGCTAAAAGAATATTTGCTCATTATTTATGGTACACCCAATCCTAAGTTGGTTAAGCTCGACCTCTGATACTGAGGTCTAAGCTATCTGGACGAGCAGCTCCTCAATATCAATCCTCCCCTTTACTTCCGATGGTGCTAGATCAACTGACCAACTCTTACTGGGTCGACCGTCCAACTTACAATCTGCCTGCCAACCTAGAGAAAAAGACAGCAGTATCTCTGTAGAAAAGTTTTAATTTACTTAGCTCTGTTTATCACTTTGCCAAGAAAATCACTTTACTTTTCACTGGAAATGTTTGTCTTTAAATTATTTACTGATATTTTAGACTTCCATTCTAAACTCCCATTCTACTGCCATTTTAAATGTTTTCAGTTTAGTTAGAAGGAGACTGAAACTCCATTTAGACTCACTACACAATGTTTATCACTCGTGAAAGTTTTCAGTATTTAATTTTAAGGAGAACTGAAAACTCCTTTCAGAGCTATATCTTTCAAAGCTATATTTAAAAGTAAAACTGACACGGCTAANGGTTAGGTTAAGTTAAGACACTTTCAGTAAGATCCATGTACAAATAATATAGGAGGGGGGGTCCAAAAATCGTTCTCTAGGAAATTACCTAATTGTATAATTAGAATAGAATATAATTTAGATTTTAATTTTTTTAAATTTGATATTATGGAGTTTGTATTTCAGAAGTTTTTATTTTCAGGAGTTTGTCTTGTCAGGAGTTT